GCCTAATATGCAAATTATCCCCTCTGGTGGTCATTCGACCGAGAGTTTGACCGCTTGCTATGACGTACGCTGACCATCAGGGGGCGATGCAGAACATGGCAGGCATCAGTGATGCACTGCAACCTCTCACTGGCTACCTGGAGGTGGGGATGATGGGGATGAAGGTGCAGTGAGAATGTGGGATGTCCACCAAGCTCATTCTCACTCCCTCTGCTACCCTCCCCCAAGACGCCAGGGCTGCCACACTGGGGAAGTCCCCCTCCCCCCCACTAAAAGGAGCCTGCCCTGCACCCGAGCGGCCTCTTCCAGGTGAGCAAGGCCTCAGCCGCTGGGACCACAGGGGCCGGTCGGGCTCCCCGTGAGCCCGAGGGTTCACGCAGGAGCCGGTCTGCAAGGCTGGCCAGGAGAGAGCTCACTGCCTGCCTGACTTCAGTGCGGTGCCACTGGGCAGCCCAGAGGCCTACACTGCGCCCAGCCTGCGGTGTCCAGCTGTGCTCACTGCATCTCCACATGGGCACTCGGGTGCCGTGACTCAGGTGGAAAGGGGCACACGGGGACCTGGGGGCCCAGGTGCTTCCCAGGGCCCAGAAGTCAACTGGGACCCCCCCCACTTCCATGCCAGATGCTCATGCTCAGGCCTAGGGACCACACCCATGCACAAATTTCGTGCACCAGGCCTCTAGTACAAAATAAATAAGAGCAGAACTTCTCTGGTAGAAGGAGGTGCAGGTAGAAAGACCAAATCCTGACTTACTTGGCCTCCCCTCATTCCCACATCTGAAACCCTAGAGGCCAGCATTGCACAGTTCAACAGTCTGATCTGATTTCAAAAACACCAGGCCAAATCCAAAGAGCTGGCTTTGCATCCAAGATATGTGGAATGCTGAGCACTGTGTGCAATGAGAAGAGCATTTTACAAAAAGGCAGAGAGGGAGGACAGTAGTAAAGCCTATACAAATTGAGGGAACCTCTACAAAGTTAGACAAAGACTTCAAAACAGAGACTGGGGCTATCAAATACAAGAGAAAAATAATGGATTTTGAACACCTCACCATCCCAATCACCAAGCCTCTGCTCCCACTCCACCTGCCATTCAGAGACTCAGTGTCCTGTCTTTTTGTATCCCTAAACAAAAGAAAATAAGTCCAAGAACTTCATTTTAGCTTAATCTTAAATATTTCAGCTTTTTTCCCTTTTGGGAAGAGGTCCATTAGGTTCACTAGTAGAAAATACTTGATTTTCCAAAGGATTTCTAGTTAGAGATTAGTGTTTGAGCCATCATGATTCAGATAATTCAGGGTACCACCATGAAGATGACACCTACCTTTGAGGACCAGCTAATTTCCACATTAGCCTCTTGAAATAGTGGAGAGACAGATACATAGTGGTATCCTTCCCTTGCAGGCACCACAATTTTTCTTCATAAAATCTCTATGTTCATGTTTCAACTAGTTTTACTTAACAGCTTCTCTTCTGCCTTAGAACTTTAATAAACTTCATCTATATGTATATGTAGCAAGTGCTATTTCCTGGGATCACAAAATCCTTGAATAACAAATAGGAAATCTGAGACCCCACAGAACTTTCCCAAGATCTGTCTTCCTTCAATTGTTTTTATCTTTACTCTTTCATATCATTACCAGAAAGCCTAGCATGGACTTAAAATGTCACCAGATAATAAAGTTGTTTTCTTTTTTGTTTCTTTCTTTTTATTTATTTATTTATTTTTTCTTTTTTGTTTCTTTCTTAGCTGGAGCCTCTTGCTCCCTAATTTAATTAAGCCATTAACATACAGGAGTGGGCAGAAGTAGGTTTGCAATTGTGCATACACAAAACCTGGAGTTTATTCTTATATTATTACTATTTAATAATTATTGTATTTTTAGTTTGTATTATACCTGTAAACCTACTTTTACCAACCCCTATATTATATCCAGAGAAGGATGATTAAGAGAGAGAAGGGATTTAGTACTTCAAATCTCTACATGACTGCTACAGGGAAAAGGTAGGAACTTTATTCTTTGTAATTTTTTACTTCTTTCTGAATATTCCCAGTAGTAGGGGAGTCTCCGACCCCCAAGTTAGCCCATTTCATTTGCAGCAGCTAAAATGGTTGGAATGTTCTTGTGTGTAAATGGCCCTTCAAACACTTGTAGACAGCTTTCATACAACTTCCCACCCCATCTCAAAGAGCTTTTCCTTCTCCCAGCTAAAAGTCCCTACATTTTTTTGTTCCTTAACTGAAAAAAAATTCAAGAACCCTCTCCATCCAATTTTTATCTCTTATGAAAACATTGTACCCTGTCAGTGTCCCTTTGAGAATGTGGTGCCCAAAGTCAAGCTGCAGTACACCAGGTAGAGTCTGACCAGTGAAGAAGAGAGTAGAATCTTTCTGGGTCTTTCTGTTTTTGTTTTTTTTCTAGGTCTGAATATTATTTTTTAAATATAATCAAAATATGTGTTTTACTTGCCTGTAAGTTGAATATGTCAGCAATATATGTCAGTACAAAGATCCCTATCTTTTGTCTTTTTCACAAATATGCATCTATAAGCCATGTCTTCCAATTATTTTCTTAAGGGTTTTATTTCCCCCTTTCTCTTTGGGAGGAGGAGTACCCAAAGTTACAAGCTTGTATTTATATTTATTAACATTCTCATTGCCCTTTTGAATACCAATTCTATAACTGACCATATCTTCCTTCTTTTAATTGAATATTTTCTCATTATGCCACAAATATTGTCCTCCTATACAAGCACAAAATTATTGAAGAAAATGAAGCCAACACCTAGTGTTTTTTCCTCTTTAGAAATTGTCCTCCAGACACATATCCATTCTAAAAATATATTTTATGTGTGCCCCTTAACCAGCAGTTCTGAAGCCATTCCAAACACTTACAAGCCCCCTAGGTCTAATCTTCATCTTTCTCTAACAGGAAGAGACTTTACTCAATTCCTCAGGAGACCCTAGTATTCTATTTCTCCAGCATTCCCCTTTGTTTAAATTTCAGAAATCCTACTGCAAAAAGAAACTGCATTATTCTGCCAATCCTATCTTCAGTGAACTAACAGCAGTTCTAATGATTATGGATTTCTCTTCTAGGAGTTTAGGTAATGAACTTGTAAATAATTAATCCTAGATTCTTACAAAGAGCAACAGCAAGAACAGAGGTTTTGTAATACTTTTCCTTCTTTTTGAAATACAGGACTACAACTGGCCATCTCTAGATATGTGACATCTCTGTGACTACTTAGTGAGTATTTTCAGTGATTCATTATTTCTCATCCACATGTTTTCTCAGTGCCCAGGGAAACCATTCTAGCTGGGAGACTTGCACCTAATTCCAGCAGTAAGGTGCTCTCTTTCCATCTCCAATCCACAGCAAATGTCATATTACTACCAATATTTGGTTTACTTTTTCTAATCTGGTATTGTCTTTCTTCTTGACAAAGAAGATGGAAGCCAAATACAAGTTTTTCCTCTCATTTACAATTAAAGATCCAAGGCTCAAGAGAATAAGGGAACACAGTGTATTTGTGGTAGGGCCAAGACTAAAGACCAGTTATTCAGATATCCATCTCTCTTTGAACTCTACCACAGATATATCAAAAAAAGAGTTTTTAAATGACTAACACATGATGTATTATCATCCTCATTATGTTGGAATTATCTCAATGGACCTTTAGAAGTCCTTGAGGTCCAAAGAATTTAAATAATTTGACCAAGAACATACAGTACACCTCCAGATTCTTACCGGTGATATAAAGTTTAGGTTCAACAGGAAGCCTGGAAAGAATGGGAATGGGTATTACAATTCCAAGAAGTGAAAACTGGGTGATGAAGGAAAATGCAGATGACAACTAAAAATAAGCTGTTAAGATTTTCCAGTTGTGTCTAGTGCCCACTACCTTGTCCAAATCTAGTACACATTGGGAATTGGCTGGGGAATCTTGGGTGGAAAGTTTGGCTCTGAGATTTTCTGGATACATTAGAGTCACAAGAGCTCTAAAGGCTGCAAACTAAGCCACCTCCAGACTCCAGTACAGGCAGCTAATTACGGACTGGTGCTAATTACAGTCTTGTTAGCGATTTCCACCATTTGGCCCTGTGGCAAAAGGTTGAGGATCCTCTAGGTTTTCCAGGCTGGAAAAGCAATCACTACCCAAAGCAGCAGGCACCATCTACCAGAGCAGTCACTTCACCTGTTTTTCCTTTTTAGAAAAGTGTACCAAGTCTGACCCAAAGAATGGCTGCTGCGTTTAGTTGGGGCTTTCTCTGTTTTTGTTTGTTTGTTTTTGTTTCGTGGAGTTTTTCAAAATACAACTTAAAAATATTGGGGACAGACAACTTCAAGAATTATAAACGACAACACATTTGAAAAAAAAAAAAAAAACTACACCCAAAAAAAGAAAGTAAATGGAATCCTCTGTCCCTTTCTTTTTTTCGAAGTACCCTCCACAGGTCAGAGAAAGACTACAGATGTGTCTTTTCCCTTTAATTGCTCAATTCCTCACAATTTACAGACTTAATCTTAGGAATACACTTTGCACTCTGCGGCTCCACCCGAGGAGTTATGGCTGTACAACAGAGGGGGAAATGCAACGCTCCCTGTCCTGGAATAAAGATATCACTCTCAGAGGGGAATTTTTCTAGATCTTTTGCAGCGAGTGTATGTTCTCTGTTAGGAAAGTCAGCTAAGGACTACCAACCATTACGCACAAAAATTCCCTGTCACAGGCTTGGCCACTCTCGCCCTGGGGCCTCCTAGTTTTGTGCATCCAGAACAGTTTCTCTTCGCTGGCTCACCGCAGACCACGGTAGTTTCCAGCTATAGTTGGCTGCAGGTCTGGCTCAGAGGTGCGCCTGGCAAGCCACAGGCCAATGAAGAGCTCTTATTCTCTCTGTGGCACCCCTGACCTGACTTCTTTCGCGTGAGCTGAGAGGTTGGAGCACCAGGAACACACGCAGCGCTCAGTCAGCTGTGAGACGACCAGTCGCTTACCTGAAGTCCCGAGCAGGGTGATCAGGAAGTGGAAAGCCAAGACAGTCAGGGCACCATGACCATGGCGAGGTGCAAACATCGTGGGGCACAGAGTGCAGTGCCAGGCTCTCACTTCCCCTTGAGTTATTTCGCTCCTCCTTCCTAAGAAAAAGGCAGGGAGTGGGGGATCAAGGGTTTAAGGTAAGGGATCTAAACTGTGTCCTCTGATTTCTCAACTCTGAATTCCGATCCTACCGCCCCTTCCAGGTCCCCTCCCTTGCTACTCTCTCAGCCTAGGGCCCCCCTCTTTCCCAGAGACCTCTCCTCAGGCCTCAGAGATACCAAGCTATTCCGAGCTATTCTGTGAGAAGAGCACAGTCTGGCAGGAGCTCTCGCTCTCTGCCTAACACCCTATCTCCTCCCAGGTCCACAAGTCCCTGACAACCTTTGGTGGCAGGTGAGCTGTCCAGGTTCAGAGCGCCCCTACACCGAACCTGCAACTGGGGGAGTCGATGCTGGCACAAGTACGGCTCAGCTTCTCTGAGGAGCTCCCAACTTCTTTCTGCAACCCTGTTGAGAGGAGGCGAGGCAGCAAAGTCTGTCTCTGAAGGGAGGAAGTTCAGGACAAAGGTGAGGGGGATGGGAAGGGGGGAAGAACCAGGAAAGGGAGGCTGGAGGGCAGCGTGAAAAATCCCAGAAGAGGCTAGTGCAGCTATCCAGGAGAGCGTCCCTAAGGGACTGATAGCCCTAGGGGTAAGCGCCTCAGTGTACTAGGGAGGGGGCGTCTGATGGAGCTGCATTTCCCTTTCCTCCTTTCAGGAGCTCACCAGTTCCCTCCCCCAGGCTGACTTCTTGGCCTGAGTTTGGTACGGTATGTATCCGGGAAGGATGTGGGGGGTTCTTTGGGCAGGGAGAGGAAACACAGACGTCAGCGCAAGTGCTCCCCAAGGAGAACAGTTCTGGAGTTGGCTTCAAGCCTTCTGAGGCAGGAGATTACTGTCTGTTCAGAAGGTGAGGGCTGGGGCAAATGGGTACCGCAATCTGCTTTGGCTAGGCTGGGTAGGAACAGACAGAGAAAACAGCACTCTGAAGGCTGGAGAGGTTATGAGCATAGATTCTATTGAAGTAATTGGCAAGCAGCAAGGGACATGTGGTTGGAAGTGTTGGGGACTACAATGAGTGGAGAGTCCCAGACTTCATGAGCCAGATGGATCCCTTACAGATCTCTAATCCTAAAGCTCTGTGATACAAAAGAGGATATTGAGGCACAAAGAGGTCATTTGCCTTTCCTTGGGTAACCTGGCAAGACAGAGTGGATACCTGGACCAGAATGAATCTTTTTAATTCCTTTACTCCTCTCTCTTCCCCATGAAGGGAGATTGGGTTGTGGAAAGAGGAGAGTGGGATGTACACTGCCTCTGGGAACTTGGGGGAGAAGGAGACACCCCAGACTGACACTCTACTTCCACCTTCCTCTTCCTCGATTCCTTGAAACTGTGGAAAGAAAATCCAAGCAGCCACCTGAGTCCCTCACAAAGCTGGACTTGGGAAACAAGGGTTCTGCTCCACACACCATTATTCTCCCTGGCAGGCTGCTGGCCAAGAGAAACTGAATCAGAGAAAGAATAAATAACTGACCTCAGATCTCACACCTAGGAAGTGGTAGGCCTGGATTCGTACTTAGATTTGCTTGATTTCAGAGCTCACATTCAAACCATTGAGATTATACATGTGAAAGTATTTTACCAATGTAAAGAACTAATAAAACCAGAAGCCTTTCAGGAGTTTCTCAATCTAACCCTTTAATTTTATGCAGATGGAAAAACAGAAGTACAGAGAAGGGAAAGGACATGTCCAAGATCACTCAGTGACTTAATGACAAGGCAAGGCTAGAACTGAGAGACCTTGCAGCTTAATCCAGGGCCCTTCCTATTGTAACATGCTTCAGTTCTCAGCTTTGTCTCTCATACAGAAAATAGTTTGTAATTATTCCATTGGGAATTATTTTATGAGTCTCCATTTTGATGCTTACACTAGGAAGTGGTGGCCAGAAAAGGGTTGTGTACAATGAGCTAGATTGTAAAACCAGAGGGAAAATTGAAAGGACTCAGTGAGATATGAGATGGGTTGAGAAGCAGAAATCAAAGCCAGAGGAGAACATGGCAGAGATCATTCACATTATTATGGATTCAACATGGAGAAAGCCTGCTTGTGAAGTAAAACCAAGAGGCAGTCCCTTCCTTTGCCTCTGGAGAGATTGTGTGGTGATGCAGAATTATCCCAGACTAAATTAGCTGTCTCCTCTATCTCCTCTTCTCCCCAGCTGCCAAAAGGTCTGTCATACTTGTTAAATTATAAGTAATTAAATAAATAAGAATAAATTTTGGAATGATTTTATTTTTATTTATTTTTTTAATTAAATCTTTATTGTTCAGATTATTACAGTTATTCCTCTTATTTCCCCCCATAGCTCCCCCCCCCCCGGTTCCCGCCCCCCCCCCCACTGTCCTCATCCATAGGTGTA